AGGGGGAAACCCTCCCCGGCAGCGGGGCAGGGACGCTGCATGCATGGGCAGGTGCCGTCCGACCCTCTTCGCCCGTGTTGCGTGGCAAGGGCTTGGGGCCAGGAGCCGCGGCTCTCGGGCTGTTAACTTCGGCGGTGCCCCCCTGCGAGGTGTCGCCGCCGTCTCCGCGGCGCCTTCTTCCCGCTTGCATCACCGCGTCCTCTCGGGTGTCTGCGAGCTGATGAGCTGCTTATAAAGCAGCGAGCTCGGTAGCGATTTTCCAGAGGTACTGTGCTTCGGGCGTCAGGGTAGTAGCTTGCGCTGACTCCCTTACTTCCCCACCCCTGCATTTACATTCATGACTGATTTTGGAGACCTCGTGTTGACAAAACCCGTCTCCACCTCTCAAGACGATTTTTCTTATCTTTCTGTTTTACTAAAAACGCATTAAGGTTTAATAGATACGTATGAAAAGCAGTTGTTGGATGAGGTTATCGTGGCGGTTGTTAATGCTGTGAGTAGGTGGGAAACGCATGGTGCTGAAAGGCCTTTAATTGCTCTGATATCTTCACTTCCATTTCTGCTGCTTGACCTTTGTCAGTGATGCCATATATTGCATTGGCATTTCTTTCATACTACTAGTAAGCAGGAAATGCTTTATTCAGTTGCACTGGTTTCTCTTGCTGGCAGCTGCAACAGCAAGTACTTTGTACTGCTCTTCCTAGGCGCAAAAGTTAAGTTTACAATATATTTTCTTTTATTGCAGCCTTTTGAATTAGGATCCTTGTTTTGCGGCATTGTTTATGTAGATGAGCAAGACTTCCTATATTGTAATAGCGTATGAATTGGTAGTTTTGATTCCTCAAACATAGGAAGAGAAACTTTCACTTGCTTAATAGGGAATTTTAACCTCTAAAATGGCAACCATTTTAAAAAATCTACATCAAGTGGAGGGACAACTTAGAAAAGGCAACAGAAGGCGGCCATGCAGAAAGTGTATCATTGCTTGCCAAAGGACAGTGCCCCATATAGCTCAAATACGAGATGTTAGATGAGATCTAGCCTGTAGTATGGTCTCTGCCCAGAGACTAAACCTGGTGTAACAAAAGAAAAGAAAAATTTTTGAAAGTGTTATAATAATAGTAATTTAACAAAATTATCTCCTGAAGAGAGAGGTAATTTGTTCGCAGTATATGGAAGTCAGAACTATTCATATTTATAGGAAATGTCAAATGTGAGATAAACTTAGGATCCCTAAAAAGTGGGATGTAGTGGGGTTTTTTTTCCAATCACTTAAGACTGGAATGTCATTTGGGAAGCACATGCAAAAAAGTTACGTGTTGGAACATAATGATAACTTCTAGAATCTTTCATTTGAGGTTATTTGTGATACAGACTAGCAAAGCCTAACTCAGCCGAATGAATTTGATGTGCTTAAACTATTAGATTTGCCGATATCTTCTATTTTAGGTACAAAATTTTACATCTTTCAGTCAACCTAATATTTCAGGTGAATTCTGGCTAATCATCTCTTAGAAGAACATAACTAGGACTCTGTAGTCTTCTATTACATTAGTTCATTTCTGTTGTTTTGAAATCAGTGCAATGAAAATGGCAAAAAATGTTGCTTGAAGAAAGAAGAAACCTTGCTTTCTTTAGGAGTTGCCATAACTTTCTGATTGATGTGTTCATGCTGTAATATTGAAAAAGATCATTAACCTAGGTCGTTGTTTAGTGCTGAACTATGGACTGGAGTTTTGCACATTTAGACATGTTTCAGACACTAACTTTAGCTATATAAACATCATATCAAACTTATTCTGCATCTGAGGGAAGGAAAGGCTTTTCTAAAATGGCAAACCCCATTCATTTCCTCTTGTTGCAGGATAAAAATCTAACCACTATGTTTTTAGACATAAAACAAATGCCAAGTTTACGTTGTCTTTTGCTGTGCAAAGCAGTGCAATTTAAATACTAACTTAGGACATATATTACACACATACTCAGTGTTTATATATATATTTAGAGAGAGTTTCTGGTCAGACTTATTTGCATTCCTGAAGCATTGCACAATAAAAAAGCCAAGAGACTTGATAGGGCAGGCTCTATCTCATGTCACTTACACTACCATACATATGATAACATAGAATGCTTAACAGTTCACTGACTTCTAACTAGGTAGTTTCTTTGTGCAGCTTATCACTGGTAGTTTCTGGTGTACCTGCTTATATATATGGGATGAATGCATCTTAACATGCAAAATGATGCAACGTTTTACTAGAAACATGAGTAAACAATTCCTCTAATTTTTTGCTAAGCAATAGTCTGCCATAACTTGTTTACAGTTTCAGGTTATTTTCTTTCCATCAATATCATACAATGTCAGTTTGAAGTCTGGACATCAATAACTGATATTTTCACAATAAAACATAGAAATGCTTTTATTCTATAGTGTTCAGTTTTAAAGAGTAAGCATAATCCAGAAACCTTACATTATATTCCTTTAAAATTACAAGTTCAGGTTTATTAATGTTCAGGTTTGAAGGTCATGAGTATATAATTCAGTGGTTATGGTACTATGTCATTTTTTCTTTTGCATTCTTTCATTTATGTCTCCTTTAATGGGAGAGTCACAGCTATTAGGATGACACAACATGTTGCCACACCTGGCAAACAGTTGAGTTCTCCTCCAACTCTTTCCTCCTCCACCCTCCTTTTCCACTTGTTTTATAAACTAGAACCACCATTAAAGTGATTTATTGTGTTGATGATGCTATTTGATTTTTTTTTTTTTAATTTAAGTATCATGTAGGCATTATATGATATGATCATATTTGTGAGACAACCAGGCATCTAATTCAAGTTAAAGAAAAGAATTTCATGTCAAAAGAATGGTCAGATAGTATACTGTGTACAGGGTTAATATGTACTCCTTGATTATCATTAAAAGCAGAAAATCAGAAAAGTAGCTGAAAAACACCTCCGTGCTTCAAGGGGAGATGGACTAAAGTCTAAGTCATTTCAAGACAAGTCTTGGACGTAGCAAGAACTCCTAATAATAAATCCTCCAGAATTCATATGCAGTGTGATCCAGTGCTTTTCACTAATCTCATCAGAGAGACTTTCCTGATGTCCAGACTTCTTGTGTCAGTCTTTCATTCTTTTCCCAGGTCCCATAAGTTCCTTCCCTTCCTCTTTGAGGAAATTACAGTTATTTAGCCTAGGGAAGAGTAAGAAAGAGAATTTCCAGTTTCAAGTGTTTAACAACCATGATTTTTGGGGGGAAAAAAAAAACAGTTATATATTTACCATTCTTTCCATTTTCTGTCTAGACATTAATTTTAGTGTAAACCTAAAAACAAAGCACAGTCCTCTTGCTAAAACATTGCTAAAGTTAAAGGGTTTATTTTGTGGGTCTTGCAAGTGATACTCCTCTTTCTACCAAGCATCCCAACCAATATTTTAGATTAGGAAAATTAAATGTAGCCTGTGCAGAGTTATAGGTACATTCTCTGCTCTTCCCCCTTTTGGGTGTTTGTCATGGTGGAAGGAAGCTGTTCAATATCCTGGTGGTGAGGAGTAACATTGCATCCAAGTGCAAAAAGGATGCAAGAACACTGAGTCAGCGTCTCATTTAAGCTTAAGGGCCAATTATGCCTGAGCAACCTGATTGCCTTCTCATCCAGAGTCAGTCATTTCATCACAGGGAAAAGCAGTGCATGTCATTTACCTTGACTTAAGCAAGGATTCTGACACAGTCTCTGGTAACATCCTTCTGGCCAAAATGGAGAGGGATGGATGGCAACCTGGGTGGAAAAACTGGCTGGATAGTTGGGCTTAAAGAGTAGTGGTCAGTGTTTTGAAGTCTAATAGGTGGACAGTGATAAAGAGGTTGATTTTGAGGTGGATACTGTTAAACACTTCCATCAGTGATGCGGGCAGTGCAATAGGATGCACAGTCATCAAGCTTGTGGGTGACATCAGCTAAGGAACAGACTGACAGACAAGCTGGGGTAAGGATAAAAGGACAGATCTTTTCACTCTCTTTCACCGTGGAGTTGTGAGGGGGAGAAATGTATCTTAAGAACAAGATGTAGGTTGTACTGTTTTGTTTTGATTTGGCTTTTAGTTCCTCAGCCTTTTGATAACAGTATTGTCTGTTATTGCACAGGTGAATTATAGGTCCAAGCACAGCCAGCAACTGTCTTCGTGCAGGATGGGTAGTATCAGAATGCCACAGCCTTTGTTTTGATCTCAGTGCAGAAGAAATGTGTATACCTGGCGTGCTATTTAATACCAGTCGTCTTTACCCTTTTCCTTAGGGATGTACCGTAGTGAATCCAGTAGTTGCCCACAGTTCCAACTTTTTATACGCTTATCTATCTCCCTTGGTCCTTTCCTTTCTGAAAAGGTTCTTGTATTAACCTGGAGAGAGGCTGACAGTAAGAGGGAGGCTGAGCTTGGATATCTTTAACATTCTCTGATGTGCAACATGTATCATTCCTGTAAACAGTATTGGAGGGTTTATAAACTTTTCAGTAATGAAACCTGAAACAATGCAATTTAACTTTGAAATTCTGTTACATTTAAATACTACTTTGCTAACTTGACATGCTAGTGTTTTGGCTGTTCCATTTTTACAGACGCGGTCTTTGCTGGGAGTATTTGAAGAAGATGCTGCTGCAATTTCCAATTACATCAATCAGTTATTTCAAGCCATGCACAGAATATATGATGCACAGGTAGTGTTACTGAAATTCTTGAATGCATGATAAAGCTTTTGAACCACGTTTCTTGCTTGTCTCTTGCTTTTTTTGAAATTATTATAAGAAATATTTTTTTTAAACTTCCACATTTTAAAAATTTTTTAAATGTGGAAGTGAAATAAAATAAGAATTAAATTATTGTTTTTCTGTATGTTGGGAGTGGTAAAGACTAAATTCTTGTGATTTCTTTTGCAACAGAATTTCTTATGACAAGTAAAAAGATTTTCTGGTCTTCTAGTAGTTTTATTGTATTTCCCAAGTGTTTCTAAAATGTTTCCCATCATGATCTTAGTGTGCATAATAGTATGTACCAAGTGGGAGATTTTTTTTTATCCACAATATATTCATGTTTCACTCATCATCTATAAGTAACTGCACTTTTATGCCAAAGGCAGAATCTATTTTGTGTGTTTTTCTGGACAATTGAGTTTATGGCTGTATTTTTAATTTGTGTATACTTGAACTGTTTGACTTTTTTACTGATTTGTTATCTTGCTTTTCATAGTTTATTGTTGGTTTTACTTTAATGACTAGTGTGTTTATTGTAGGTTTGCTGTTATGTAGTTTCATTTTACTGCCTTTCTATTTAGCTTTTAATTTCGGTACTTTCTCCTTCAACTGCATCATGAAAGATGAAGTTGTTCCATACCATGAATCTGCTAATTAGGTCCTGTCTGTGTACAAGTACAAAGCAGTTTGTAACCAGGTGGTACTGGGGTTCATTGTAATCTTTCCTTACAGGTAACAAATGCCTAATACTGAGTAACTAGGGCAGCTAATTTGAAATAATTACATGCAAATATGCACTGTGTAACATGAAAAATACAGAAATCGGTGCACATAATACAGGCTGTGAACTTGCCATTTGTAAACACTGATTATCTGTAACTCTCAATAATGTTAGAGAAATGGAAGGGCAGGATGCTTAGGTTTTCTGAAAATCTGTAGTCAGATTTTAAATTCCATGTCTGTAATAGTTTCCTCTTCAAATATGTGATTTTTAAATATTAATTTAAATCAAAAAGTAACAAACTTGTTTTTTTGTGGATTTTTTTTTTTTTTTTAAATCAGAATGAATTAAGTGCAGCGACTCATCTGACTTCAAAGCTTCTGAAGGAATATGAGAAACAGGTACTGTGTAAATCATTGTTGTCTTTGTGTGGTCAGGACTACGTATTTTTGTAGTCTTTTATCTCCCAGAGCACAATGTAGAATGTATTTAGGTTTGGTCCAGACAAAATGAACTGCTGTAGTTGGTGGCTCGAATCTTTGCCAAAAGGATCTACTGTCTTCATATTAGTTCTTCCAACTAAACCAGAATGAAGTTCCTCTTACCATGTTGAATATTAGTAAGTTCTGGAATATTTTACTTTTGGATTAGTGTTTTGGAGGTTGCTTAGGGTGGTGGTGGGGTTTTGTTTTTGTTTTATATACCTGTTTACTGTTAAGTGCTTCAATTTTACTAGTAACAAAGAGAAGAAATTGCATAGCAGTCTCCATTTAACAACCATAATTCACTCTTATTGTGAGAATAATTCCATCTCTGAAAGCGTGGATTGTGGAATCCATAACTTTCTCCGCTGGTAGCCTGTACTATGAAGGGTTTCCTATTTGTAGCTATGCTGCTGGGACCCCTTTTCTGAGATGCATGTTAAAAACAAAAAGTCACTCCTTTTAAGGAGGCTGGCACTCCCTGTCCTCATTCTCCACCTAATGAGGTGAACTGGAAAAAGTACTATTTTTGAATTATTTTGGTTTGGTGAGTCTTTTTAGAGGGGTAAGATGGCACACTATTTTTCCTTCGCTAGTTGTTACTAACCAATAGGTGTAATGCAGATAGGATCAAAACCACAATGGTGCTGATCCAAGAGAGTAGTGAGTATTCATACCTACAGTAATCCCATTAGGAAGAAATGGAGAAACAGAGATTTAGAGTGTCTTTTTTAAAAAAAAAAAGTCTTGCATTCCTAACAACAGGCTGGAAATGCTGTTTAAGATGTCTGTGCACAGTCCGAATTGTAGCAGGAATTAAATTATTTCTGCTTTTTTTTTTTTTAAAGTAGCTGCAGTACTGTCATTTGAATTGTTTTAACATTGTTGATACAATACCAAATTGACTTTAATGACACAGCTATTTAATGAATTGCACTGTTTCTGCCATTTTCTAGCAGAAACATAGTTTTTGCAAAATCAAAATGAAAAGAACTAGCTTCAGATTAGAAGAACCAATTAGGGCATTATATTCTTATTCGTTAGCAGTTACAGATATCAAAATACATACCAAATATCCTTACTTCAGTTACAGTTTGTTAACTTCATTGAGAAGAACGAGGGGGGAACCTGACAAGCTGGAAGGAGGTGCTCAAAATTTTGAGTAAAGAAGTTGGGGTTTTTTATATTTCCAAATGTTTTATATATAGCTGCTGTGAATTAAAAGAAGAATTAAATTAACATTGGACCTTTTAACTTATTTTTCTGAATTTTCTCCTTTGGACTGCTTTTTTCCCAGTCAGAAGATTAACTTAAAAATACGCAAATAATGTTTTAACTGGATTATTTCTTTTTTCAGTTGTGACCATGCCTCCATCAAGGCATTATAGAAGTAAACTCTTTTGGATGATTTAAAAATTTCACATAATCACATAACTTAAGAGCTGGAAGTTTTAAGATGAACACCAAATATCGCTTAATTTCTGATAATTTTAAAAAAGAATTTGCAAAAAATCTTCATAGATGTCAAGATGTCAAATCATTCCTGATTTTTTTAATAAAATCTATTAATTATTTTATAAAACCTATTAATTAGATTAATTAATCTATTTTAAAAATAGATTTTTTTCTTTTAAATAATGAGAATTGTTTATTAGTTTTTTCCCCCTCCAAAATACTTCTTCTTCGCAGGACAATAACGAAGTGCTTCAGTGTATCTTAACTGTATAATATTTTAAAATAATGGAATGCCCAATGCATTCATAGACATGATTAATACAGTTTTGTGAACAGCAGAAGACACTGCAAACAACATGCCTCCTTTTATGTTCTTTTAGCGTTTTCCACTAGGGGGAGATGATGAAGTTATGACTTCCACTTTACAGCAATTTGCAAAAGTGATAGATGAGGCAAGTACTTGTATTTGTTTCACTTACTTTGCTAATGTTGTCATGTATAGACTTTAACTTGCTTAATTATTCCAGCCTTTTTTAAGATAGGAGGTACAGAAATGGCTTTCATTTGTCAATAAGTTAACACTTAATTGTATATTGCAGCATATATTTAAAGTTATATAACCTGAAGGTAAAGAATCAATTCAGCAAAATGAGGACATGTTGTTGAGAAAGAATGTAGTTTAGCTTACTGTAGATACAGCCAAAAAAACATTACAGAATGGCAGTTAGAAACTGTTTTTCATGAGGGTATTTGTATTGCCTGATTTCAGATACCTGACTGACAAAAGAACCTCCTGCTGTCTGTATTAGAGACTCTTCTGAAAGATAACTTAGCACCATTAAGATCTAAATCAGGATTTTTTCTGTGATCCCCCTCCTCACTTTTAGCACTACTTAAACAGCATTTTGGGAGGAAGAACACATTTTTTCTACCTCTGTAACCTGTAAAAGATGGGTTGTGATGTAGCTGGAGGGAAACTGGAGAAATAAATTGCCTAGTCATCAGAATGTGTGAGGCCATCTTCTGACATGATCCAGGAACTTGGAATAAAGTTGGAAAAGTAGGGACAAACACTGAACTCTAAAGGACTTCTATAAAAAGCTAGTGATGAGATCAGGAACCTAGAAAGGAATAGCTGCAAAAATTTGAATGTGCGAAATTATGTTTGAGTTGTACATGTCATCTTTTGTACGTGTCAACCTATTACTTTATTTTATTTTACTTTATTTTATTTTCTCTCAGCACTGTTTTCCTAAAATTTCCCTCTTTCTCTTGTCTTTTACAGCTTAGCTCTTGCCACGCAGTACTTTCAACTCAACTTGCGGATGCAATGATGTTTCCTATTACCCAGTTTAAAGAAAGGGATCTAAAAGGTAGAGTGCTTGAACAAATACTGTTTTTATCAACAGGAGCAATAACAAAAATGTAGCATTTAATCTCCATAGCTCTTGTTTCACTAAATAGAATATGCCACTTATTTTTCAGCTCTCAAAAGTATGCACCTCCCAATTTTTTAAAAAAATGTAAGTTATTTCTGTTCATGAGAGTATTACAGTTGAAGAACTTAACACTATTACTGTTTCAACAAAAATACTATATAATGGAAGCACTTACCTTCTATTCAAGATTAAAATTTTGCAGTTACTGTAAAAATTAGGAAAGAATAATTTTCAGATAATTTGCATGTTCAGGAAATATTTGTATATATTATAATACCATGACATCAGTATAATGGCTGGACTAAAGGCAAAGTGCCAAAGTTGTAGTATTTATTCTATTATTAAGGTTTACTAAGGTGATTCTTCAACCCTGCTGGTAATATAGGTGGCTTCTTACGTGCAGGCATAAGATGCTTCCAACTTTATTTTTGTAACAGTTGTATCTTATTCTGCCTGGTCTAAAACAATATATAATGTGTCTGATTATGATAGGTTTTACTTGAGATGCTAAAGTGAATAGACTGATGTGGCAAATAGACTTGAAATATAAATTGTAAGAGCTAAAACCAAAATAACTTAAATCCCTAATGTGAACATCCTAAAGTGGGTATACCTAACATAAGAACGTTTTAAGTCTAAATTGAACTAAAAATTACGACTCTTCCGTAAGTCTTCTAGCTCTTTATGAATCTTGGAAAATACTTCTTTGGCAATAGTTTCTTGCAAAATTATGGATTAAATAGATTATACTTTTTGAGCAAGGGAACATGAGTATCTGAAGGCTAATATTACTCCTCAGAACCTGGAAAAATCTCCTGTTAATATTTACTGAAGAAGCATCCCTGAGGCAATAATCGCAAATTAAATTTTCCCACTGGAAGTTTTTAACCACCAACTGATGTAGTATTTAATGATACCATACTTCTTTATGGGCTTCATAGGCACTTTATGTAAAGCTTTTCCATGCTTTTTTATCTTTGCTTTACCATAAAGTTGAACATAGCTCTCTGCTTGTTTATGTCATAATATGACACAAAACCACAATCAAGATCAGATCAAGTGCTAAGTATTGTACTGTTTTCTGTTTCCTGACACAGTGAGACTAAATAATCATCTAGACCATGACTAATTTTAGGTAGGAGGAATCACAATGTCTTTGGGGCTTTCCTTTGATCCAGTGATACTTCCCTGTCTCCGGTGCTTCCACTTCCCCAACTCAGACCAGAACTCTGACCAGAACTATAGGTGATGCATTTGTATTGACGATCTCTTTCAAAGTCTTTTAAAAAGAAGTTCTTTCTTAACTTATTACAATACAGTATCTTTTTTGGTAAGACGGACAGCCACATAAATGATACTCAGGCCCTAAGTAGGAGCAGACTTTCTTGGCCACATAGTGCCTATGCTGGTAATTCAGCAAGTATGCTACAACTGTTCAGTAGTGAAACATTGCATGAGAAACTGTAATATATAAATGTTATGTTAATAACAACTTATTTAAATTGTGATATGTTGTTTTGTAGAGATATTAACTCTAAAAGAAGTTTTCCAAATTGCAAGCAATGGTAAGTGTAAAATACTTTATGTTATAGATATTACAAGACAACAGTGTTATTGTAGATGATTTACTCAGAAAACTAGTGAAGATACTTGAACGGCTTAAAGTGACTAATTAAGGTGTAATTTTTTTCAGTGATAGTTAGGCACCCAGCTTTCCTTGATTCACTTGTAAAATCCCTGCTTTGTGTACCGAAGTGTTGAGGCAAATTGACAGCATTAGTCTTTTTTACAATACTGTAAATGTATATATAATTATTAAATAATTTAGGATTATGCTACCAAAATTACTAAAAATAGAAGGTGCTAGCTCACTTCTTAAAGTCAGGACTGGATTAATAAACAATTAATTAGTTTGATAGTTCTCTTCCTTATTGTCAGTAGTTACTTTTTGAGGTAGCTCTACTATATCCTTGTAGAGAACATACTCTTTAGGTAAGGATTAAGTACAGATTCTGCTTCTCTTAATGTAAATTGCTTCATTGCTTTCGACGCAAGAAAGGTTAGATGCAGGTTTTCGTAATGGAAAGTTGTCTCTACTTATAGAAAGTTTCTGTCTTTGAAGAATATTAGATGTTTAGGGAAATTTGTAACAATTTGGCCATGTTTGCATCTGTTTAGAATTTCTCTTCAGCCCGAGTATTTGTGTCAGTGAAGTAATTATAAACAAGCAAGAACAATTCTTAAAGGTTTTAATATGACAGAACTTTGCGTTCAGCTGGCTGTGCAACACACAGTGATATAAAGCGTTTTCTGCTCTGTTTCATAAGTCATGAATTTATCAAAATGATCATAAATTCTCTCTTGATTGCTTAGACCATGATGCTGCCATTACCAGATACAGTCGGTTGTCAAAAAGAAGGGAAAATGAAAAGGTTTGTAAAACAAAATACTTAATATAAAGATTTTTAGAGAAGAATTAATTTTCATCTAATATATATATCTATGATGGAAGACAATGTATGGCAGATTCAACCTGAAGGTTGATAGTTTATGTTTTAGCAGTCTAGACAGTTTGTTTCAGTATAGAAAAGCAGGTTTCCCCAATACGTGCCTGTCTTGTAACACTGAAAATGCTCTAAGATGAAGGTTGTGATACTATATTCAATTTATTTTTGTAAAGAAATAACCACATTTTTCAGGGAGAAAAGAATGCTGTATTTGTTTTTCATATATCTCTCACGTATAAGTTAGAGAAGCGGAATTGTAGGGTAAAATATGCAATTGCTGGTGATAGAGGGTAGAACATTACTGTGTTGTTTTTTCCATGCTGGCTGTAAAGCTGTCCAGAAGGCATGTGATGAATACCAAGTCTCAAACATTCCTTTTTCCCCCTTCCCTGTCTGTGTCTCTTTAGATCAAGGCTGAAGTTACAGAAGATGTATATACTTCCAGGAAAAAACAGCATCAGACTATGATGCATTATTTCTGTGCATTAAATACTCTTCAGTACAAAAAGAAAATTGCGATGCTAGAACCCTTGCTAGGATACATGCAAGCTCAGGTAATTTCAGATTCTGAAAGCTGTAAGTCTGAAAGAAGATGTAAAAGTACTTCACGAAGGTTGATGTACTGAAATCCATTGCAAGACCTCTTTTGCAATCAAAGGAAGCAAATGGAGAAAAAGACATATCCCATCCTCATCCCTGTAGCTGTCACAGCTGCTGCCATGAACACTGTTATTAGTTAGCACTAGTCATTTCCCACTCAGTATATGAATCTCATCATGACATGCCCTCACTCCCATTGGAGAATCTTTTAGGAAAGTCTCGGTGACAGATATAAAGGTCTAATTCTACCCCAAAACCCAGATGGCTATATTTAATGCACTGCCTAAATTTTCATTGCTGGATACTTTTTTCCACTGGATCATTAATGGGAATAGCTGATTAAAACTTTCACGCATGCAAGTCCGCGTGGAAGTGTACCTTCTTAGAAAGTGATGTGGAGACTGTTAAACTCTTTCCTGTGGCAGCTATTCTGATCAAAGTCACATCACTGCTGTTTTCAATCAAGGGTGTGGAAAAACTGGAATGCTAAAAATCATTCTGGCTTGGTTTTTTTTTAATATAAATGAGGTCATGATTGTTTATTTGAGGATGAGTGCAATAGAAAATACAACTATGAAAAAGTTCTTTGGAGAGACTTAATTTGTATTTTCAGAAGTATGTTGTCAGTATGTTGGTTTTAAAAAGAAAAAAAGCCAAACTTTCCAGCATCTGGCACTGCCAGGTGTCCCAAGTAGAAATTAACTTCTACATACTGTCTGAAAGCTTTCCAAGTCCAAGAAGAACTCTTGCTTCTTTTTGAAACTTTGCAGCTTGTATTTAAGAACTAAGCTCTAAATGTTTTCTGTAACAAAGTAGATAGTGCAACTTGTTGTTCAGGTGCAGGTTTTTGCTGAATCTAAAGATGGGAAGGGCAGGGCCACGCCCCATGGCTTCCTGTTCTGAGATTTCATATGGCTAAACTCAATTTAGATGTGGCAGTTTTTCTGGACCAATATGGAGTACACTGTTTTTAAGATATATATCGTCAGTTCCCCTTGCCAGGGTCCACAGTTAGAGGATGGCCCGGGACAAGTCCTCACAGGTTTCCCCTCCTATACCCCCCAAATAACCCCTCCCATAACACAACAGTTAGCAGACTGGGGGGCTTGAAAAAGTATAGAGAGACCTTGGGATCACTAAAAGATCAAACCTTGTTTCTTTGCCAGGGCAGTTTGTGCATTTCCTCAAGGTGACTGTGCACTTCCTCTTGACACAATGAAATCCCACTGCAATGTCAGCATCAACCTTTACTTGCAGACAAAAACATGCATTCTGCTGCTTTTATTGAGAGGCTTTGGTGCGAATGAGGGATGAAGAGAGATTTCTCTGAGAAACTTAACTTCCTATGGTTTCATCTGTTAATTGTTAATGTAGTTTTAATTACTAAATTCTCCCTTTTCCTCCTCTTTTTTTTTTAAGATAAGTTTTTTTAAAATGGGTTCAGAGAATCTTACTGAGCAATTGGAAGAATTTTTGACCAATATTGGCACAAGTGTACAGAAGTAAGTTGTTTTTGTTGAATTTTGAACTATTATCAAGGCAATTATTTTTTCTGTTTCTACTTACTAATAAATTGTCTTTGTTAATAACACATTATTTACCTTAGTGTTCGCAGGGAGATGGAGTGTGAAGTAGAAAACATGCAACAAACTATAGAGGACTTGGAAGTAGCTAGTGATCCACTGTATTTGCCTGATCCTGATCCTACGAAATTTCCTGTTCATAGAAATCTAACACGGAAAGCTGGCTATCTCAATGCAAGAAAGTAAGACTGGCTTGTTACTTAAAAATTCCAGAATATTTAATTTTGGGAAAGGAAAGCTAAAGCATGCAATATTTTTTTTGAAGTTAACTATGCTGATTTTACATACTTAGTTGAGTAAGTCATGTAGGAGCTATTCTGTTTCTTTCTTTGGACTCCTTCATTTAAATAGTATTAATTTCATTATTACACTGACATAGTGTCATTTAGGTGCAAAACATAGTTATCCTGATTTTAGTCTAATTTTGCCTGAATTTTCACATCAAAAAGAAAAAGTTTATGAGAGTGTAATTTCACTGGATTGTAATTGGAAAACAACAAGATTACAGCTATCAGGATTGTTCTGTATCTGTTAAAGCTTTGGGATTCAAATTACTAATAAAATATGACAAGCTTGAGATACACAAAGCAAAACATTCTCTGTTAACGGAAATACACTTTGAACGGCCTTCTCAATTTCATGAGGTAGTCTTTTGTCCACTAGAGGGAGTTGTTACTCTATTTATTAAGGTCTAGCAGCTGATTTTATAGCTATTAAAAATAAGTTGTAACACTCAGATTTTTTTCTGTAATTTATATAATAAGCTTCAAGGAATTTTTAAAAAAATGTAGATTACTTTTACAACAACAGTTAAAGTAACACACTCACTGAATGAGCCATGAATTTCTGTAGTAGAACACAGTTGCAGCAATTAATATTGAAGAGAGTATCTGAACAAAAAGGGAGGCTAAACTGCAAGTGTTACTGATTTTTGGTTTCAGATTGTTCCTTTTCTGTTATTCTGGGAGAAAAGAAAAAAACCCAAAACCCAAAAAACCAACATGCTCTAAGCAAAATTTTGCTGAAATCTTGTTGAATGGTACAAAATACTTGGAAAATTGAAGTATCTTATGTGAATAAGCTAATTCTTAACACAAAGTTCTTCAAAACTTAGTCTTAACAATATAAGTGCAGAGTGCAGAAGTCTTATCAATTATATTGATAATGCATATTGTTTGAATATGCATATTGTGTAAAACAATACCATAAAAGCTGATCATCGAAACTGAAGTACTTAGGCCTTTTTATTCTAAATTGTTACACATAATTTAAGAAAGCAATTACTATTATTTTATGTATGCTTTGCCCTGCAGTAGGTTTAGCATGAAAAAAACAACAGATGGAAAGAGACTAATTTAGCTGTAAAGCTAACCTAAAACATTAAACAGGGAAAAAAGTTTTCTTAAGTGCCGAGATGGTTTATTCCAAGTGATTTTCAGCTCAGCTGAACTCCTAATTTAACCAAGAACCTCTTTTTATCTTTTAGTAAGACGGGGCTGGTATCTTCCAGTTGGGAGAGACAGTTTTACTTCACTCAAGGTGGAAATCTGATGAGTCAGGCAAGAGGTGACGTAGCTGGGGGACTTGTCATGGATATAGACAATTGTTCTGTAATGGCTGTGGACTGTGAAGACAGACGGTACTGTTTTCAGATAACATCTTTTGATGGCAAAAAGTAAGTATTCTTATATTACTGTTATGTGTAATACTGGACTCACTAATTAAGAAAAGAAAGATGGTCTACCTTTGGCCAGATTATAGCTTGATAGATTTTAGGGGTATTTAGAAACAAAATCTGGGATGTCTTTTTAACTTTGTAATGTCTGGGTTTTTGTTTATAAGCTCTGTAATGTAGCTGAGTGGTATTTCAGAACAAAATTACGATAATCAGTTTACAATCGTGTATTATTGCATTTTGTGAGTGCTTAAATATTACATGGGCACAATTAGAATTTTGTTCCTTTTCTATTTTCAGTTGAAATGAAAACATAGATTCCCCACCCCCCAGTTAAATGTTGACTGCACTCAGCACATACACGGAATCTTCAGCCTTTCTTAATTCATTGTGCAGTGTATAAACTTGAAAATGGAGTTTCCTGTCTGAATGTATTTGTGAGGCATTTTAAATAGACACAATAGTCTTTTCCATTCTCCTCTTTCAGGTCTTCAATCTTACAGGCAGAGAGTAAAAAAGATTATGAAGAGGTAAGCTTATAGGAGGTTCTCATGGAGTCCAATGATTTTCTGTTGTGCAGAAGGAATACATTTGTAACAATAGTTGGAATGCTCATTTTATGTTCTTTAGGTGGTAAGCAGTGAACTTTTAACTCATTCAATCCATAATGACAGGTTTCAGGAAGTCTGACAAAATACTGCTGTGTTTAAATCCTAGAGAAAAAAATGCAGTTCTGATTGTCACCGAGTCCTTTTCAGTATTATGTAAGAAAGAAAGAGGGCGGGGGGGGGAGCCCACAGCAAAATAGCTAGCAGTAACGGAATCTTGACAAATGCTGCTTCTCCTTCTGCCTGTTGATGCTTTCCTAACCTTCTTTCTTCCTACCTGCGTGTCAGGAATGGAAAATAAAGAAAGTCTTAGGTTAGGACACAGATAATGATACAGGCAGTTGAGAAATGAGGAAAAACTGTTTTTCTGCCCTTAATTCATGGTGGGAAACATGTTTATACTTCATGAACAAGTTGAATCAAGAAATGTGAAATAATTTGCTTCTGGACTGCTTTCAAAGCTGCTTGTGATTGTTGATTCCAAATGGCTGCTAAGTCTGGTGATGGAGATTTACTTGCCTGGGCAATGGATGAATACCAGCTGAGAAATGTCAGTATTCAAATACTACATCAGCAAACTTATATGTTGTAGCAAATATTGATGGGGAAAAGGAAATGGGGAAAAAAACCCAACCAGCAGGGATGTCTTTTCCCTACTCTTTTTAGCTTTCTCTAGAGGTGAAACTAAAAAGTTTCTCTGGATTTTTTGCAAATAATAGCCTAATATTATAGCCTTGCACTGGTCTAACAAAGAAGGTTCTAGTTATTAGAATTTATGTTTTATTTGGACAGCTTTTTACAGCTTTCCGAAGGCTTGCACAGATGGGCCAAACTGATAGATTCATTACATTCATAGTCTATGAATACAGTCAGATTTGTCCAGAAACAAAGGAACAGATTTGTAAGTGTTATAAAGTATTTGTTAATTAAAAAGGTATGTCAATTTGCATTATTATTCAATATAGACTTTTCAATAAGGGATGGGATGGAAAAGAAAATGTTTTAAAAGCACTGTTGATTTAAAATATGTTTGGGCAAGCAGCTGGATAAGGAAATACAGAAAATATGGTACTTTCACCCTGCATTCGAATTCCTCTGCAATCTTCAATGTTAAATTGATATAAAATGACCTTTTATGCTATTTCTAAGGTTTTTAGCTGGGCTGTGTCAGGTTGGCTCTGGTTCATTTGCTCTGTTGAGGTTGTCTAATAGCATAACTGAAACATTTGCCCTCAGATGCCTCACTGGAGGAAGGGAGTTTATAGTCAGCTTTAGTAGCTCAAATTTGTGATTTTCTGGGCTGCAGCTGCTGTGCTGTCTTTTAGATAGCTCAGGTGACAACCCTACCCACAAGCTGGGGTTCAGTGGAGCAGCACCGGTAGTATGCATATAATCCAGTTAGTTTTCTCCTTCAGAGAAAAGTTGAAAAGCAAGGAACAGGGGCAGACGGTTTTCCATAGCACAGGGAGAAAATAGATTCTAGCTTACAGATACAAGAAATGGGCAAATTCCACAAAAGGCAGATGGAATCTTTATAATGTCTTGAGGAAACAATGTCATCTGCAGTCACAGAATAATGGAGTACAGAGAATCCTGATTTTTTTTTTTAATTCCTTAGAGTCGTGATTTAGGCTTGCTTTAGTTTTGATCTTTAGTGTGACTAAAATATTTTTTTCAAGTAAAATCTGATACTGTAAGTTGCAGTATGCACATAGTAGTGAATTTAATGACAAGCTGGGTGTGCAGAATACTGGTTTGGCTCCCTGAAGTTACAAAGAAAGTGGAAAAAGTGCTGAAACTAGCCAACTCATGTATTTAATCAAGTTTGTTAAAAAACTATGAAAAATTAAATTTTTTTCTTTTTTTTCCTCTCTCTCTCTTTTTCAGTGGATATGCACCATAAACAACATATCTAAACAGATATATCTAAGTGAAAACCCTGAGGTAACTTTACTAAAATTTATAGTATCAGTAATATGTTAAGATGTAGATATGTGCAAAATTAAAAAGAGATCAACTGGATCTAATTGGATAGCATAGAATTAAGCTGAGTACTTCCTACACGTCTAATTATAAGCTTTTCATGGTATGAAAGCATACAGTCCATTGTCTCCTTCATTTAAATGCTTATATAGAAAGCATTAAAAATATGTGACTTTTATATTTGTTATAACTTTTTGACATTTTCAGGATCCTGTATTTTAGTTTTAGTGCAGAGCTCAGTTACCTAAAGCACATGTTCTGATGAATATACAGCTGAGGTTCTGTTTAGTCCTGGCATAAACGGGTGCAGCTCCCTTACATCAGTGAAGGTGTGTGCATTTACACCTCGATGTTAATGCCTTCTTCTCACTTCCCAATGGCTTTATAGTCATTCTCATTTTCTGAGTCATACGCTCACACAAAACGTTGCTACTTCATTGTTTTGTCTCCTGTACCTTCCCTCTCCAAAAATCCTCCTTCCTCAAGGACTTTCGCTATTGGCTTTACTGCATGAAGTGAAGCCATCAACATTAAATACTGACACTTCAGAATTAGTGACTTCAATGAAAGATTAAAATGGAATTCTTCAACTGTAAATGTTCCATTATTTACTGAAATAACATTATTAACGTAATCCTTACTTGATAGTTGTTCGTGTCTTGGTTTTTCAGAAACATTTAAGTGTTCCCAAATTTCAAGTGCAGACTTTTGAATCTTCATGGTTTTTAGTTAGTATTTGAGGACTGCATTTCTCAAATGAGATTTTTCTTTTTCTTCCTGGCTACATTTGCTTATTTTTGTCACACTTATCATTGGAACTTTTCTCTATTTCTGGCTTTTATTAACATTCACAGTATTATAAAGCAAGTGCATTCATTTAAATTTTGAAAGTGAACAGCAGGAAATGTGTTGCAAGTTAGAAGAAAATACTACAACTATGTTAATGAAAATTTAGGAATGCAAGATTCTCACAAAGGGTTGAGTTTATAATTTCTGTCAATTGCCTATAAATAAAACTAAAACCGTAAAGCTTATTTTGAGGAAAATGTTTTCAGTTATTTTTTCCCATCTCTGTATTGCAGGAAATTGCTGCACGTGTGAATCAGTCAGCTCTGGAGGCTGTTACTCCATCTCCTTCCTTTCAGCAGAGGCATGAGAGCATGCGGCCAACTGTGTAAGTTAATGAACTATAGGTCATTTGAAGAGCATCTATAAAGAGAATCCTGGATAAAGTTCCAGGAGAAAAAAAAAAACAAACAACAAAACTTTCTATGTTCAGAACTAAATCTTTGATAGGCTAGAGGAAAATTTCTTGAACTCACCTTTTATCATTGTTTAGCATTGTTACTGTTATTGTCATTTTTAACATTGTTATTGTTTAGCATGTTAGCATTGTTACAAGTAATCCAGATTTCCAGCTGACTACTCAGTTTTGTTGGTTGCCTCATATGTCTGGTAATGAGATTTTTCTTAATGTGTCCAACTCCTGGAAGGAGACCTCAGATTGTTCTAACATCAATATATAATCATATATGAAATATAATACAGTCTGATGCAATTAATAATGCAAGTAGTAACTAGGAATGTAGACTCCGTTTTTGTTTACTATACCCTGATCTTCTTCAGGTTTTTATTTTTGTTTTGTTTTACATCCAAGTTTTGGAATATTGTATTGGTCTCCCATGTGGTTTAATTTTTTTATCAACCAATCTGAAACTAAGATACCTTCCTTTTGATTTTTTGTTTTGTTTTAGACAATCTCGTCCTCCTGCAGCTCGTACTAGCAGCACAGGGTCACTGGGATCCGAATCAGCAGCTTTATCGGCACTTTCCTTGGATTCACTTGTTGCCCCTGATACTCCTATACAATTTGACATAATATCTCCGGTTAGTGAAGATCTGCCTGGTCAAGCAAAATCTTCAGGGCAGTCGGGCAGGTAGGAAATGTAGAGAGAAGGAAGAAAATTCCTAAAGTTAATGTTACTAATTTAAAAACAAACAAACAAACAAAAAAACCCTGTTTAGGCTACAGCTCCAAAACACACATTGCCTTTGCCCTGACTCCTGTCAAAAAATTTGCAGTGGCCAGCAAAGCAAAACAATTTTTTAAATTGTTAAATAGACTTGTGAAAAATGGCTTAATTACATGCACTAGATTCAAGGTGTAGTTTTCTATTTAGCAGCAGCTTTTCTTGCTTTAACAGCTAATGCTTTTATTTATTGATTTATTTAATCTTTTGGTTTCACAAAGTATTTTCCTTTCCTATTGCTTGCTCACCCAGCAGCTTGGGTTATTTCCTCTTGGAAACTCAAGAGAAATTTGGTAGCCCTGCCTCCAGGTGATGATGGCATACGATGACACTCTGCTTAACCTGACAGGTGAGTGAAAATGATCTAGGCTTCTGGAGTAATCTCGTATACAGACAAGTTAAAATTGTCTAAGAGCTCTACCCAAAATATAAAAACATTTTCTCCTACTTGTTTTTTTGTAAACTTCCCATTCAAAAATAATAATAAAAGCCTGTAAATCTTCACTGCATTTCTGGAACTATATGTACAGAATTCAGATATTAAGAAATCATATTTGCAGATCCAGCTGCTCTTAACAACAACAAAAAAAGCCAAAAAGCTGAAAACTAATTTAAGTGACTCTAGTCACAATAATGTGTTGTATCCCCCTGCCCTCTAGAAAAGTATTTGAATTTTCAGTTGCACCTCACAGATACATAAGAGTTAAAATTACATATATTCAACTCTTTTTTCTTTTTTTTTTTTCTTTTTTTTGACTGATTTCTCTTTGTTGTTGTTTGGTATAGCAGGATAATCAGTTGGCTAACTAGATCCTTAAGAACATATTGATTTAAAATAGACTTGAACTGTATTCCAGGAAGTGGAAAGGTTAATACTGCAGCTAAATTCATGTCATCAGTTATAATTCCATTCTAGAAGATCGTATTTTTCATAGCAGAAATGATAGAGAGTTGTGCTCAGTATTTTCAATTAACCTTCACTGTCAATAAAGAACTGCAGTGTTTGTACAGATGGGCAACCTGCTACTTTAGAAGTATTAATTATTTAAAAAAAAAAAAACTTTCCTTAGTTTCTGATACTGATGACGTATATTTAAATTTTTTTTTTGCCTTTTGAGAGATCCTGTGAGATTTTGCATTTACTGTTCCAGTCTAATCTTAAATGACAAGAAGTCTGAGCAATAAAAGATGCCAATAGAAAGAATTTCCCTTTAGTGTATTTACACAGGTCAGCATTTAATGGGATGATTCTTGATTGAGTCCATGTTATGTAAACATTGCAGCAATGCAATCTTGACTTCAGAGTTCAATCTAGAACAATTTTATTACTTTAAACTAGACATCTCTTAGTTAAAAGATTTCACTGATAAAATTAAACTGGCAGTCAGTATGACATGTAACTGAACAAGAGAGATTGACTTTTTTTTTTTCTCTTAGTTCTGAAATCTGCTTTTAGAACACTAACTATTCAGAGGTGACACCTTCATTACTCCCCTATAAAACCTAATGTGAAGTTTATTGAACCCTTGACAATAGTTTTTCAGCTACCAGTTAGCCAAAGAGAAAGGGTTTTTTCCTTTTTAGACGTTTTAAATAAAATTTCCCCATTGCATCATACTCTTTTGCTTTAAAATGTAGACTTGGAAGCCTAGAGTATTTTCACTTTTCATTGTAACTGATAGCAATTCTGTCTTTGAGAGCCAGAAATAGCCACATTTCTCTTGACCCTCTAGGAGTAAAACCCCAGTGATGTTTTCAGAAAGCTGCATTTGAAACAAAACCAGTGACTTCTCTTCAGTAAGTAATTCAACAACTTGAGACAGTGATGAGAAGTGTGGTGCTCCTGTGGAGTACTGAAAGGACTAGCTTTTGGCTGTACTTCCTGAAGCTGTTCTGTGAAATTTCATCCCCTAAAACTATACCTTTTCAAATATTAACAAGGTTTTGACTTGGGCTTAATTCAAATATAAAAAAATACCATGTGAACAAAACTCTCTATGGCAGCAATAGGACAATGATATCTGGTATTTTTCCCATTATTTGAGCCCTCAAATATAGCAATTTATGTCTAACTCCTGATTACATTGCTTGTCCTTACGATTTATCATATGTTACTCTTCCAGATTACAAGTCTGTGAAATCATTACATGTTCTTATTTGATGCAGCATGAGACTACTACATTAGTCATTAGTGGTTCTTGTAATCTGACTCCTGGTTTAATGTTTTCATTTTTTAATAGACGCACAAATCCTTTCGGTGAATCTGGAGGCTCAAAATCTGAAACAGAAGGTAAAACAAAAATTTTATTTCAATGCAAAATAAAAAATAGAATTTGAAATTTATTTTTCTATTTTCATCTATAGCTTCTCTCTTCTAATTTAACACCAGTTTTAGAATGCTTAGTTACATTAGCAATGTATTAGACAAGTTGAGTTAAATCTGGCTACTGTCTGAAAGTCTGTTCTAAAAATAATTCATTGCATCTTTTGTATTCATTAAACCAAATGAAAAGATGTGTGACTTGCTGTTTAGTAACTGTACCTCTAATTCATAAGTATGAGCGATCTCTTTCCAAGTTATTAGAAGTTTGGAGTTTACCTGACTGCAATCCATCTTTGGTTTTGAATGGAAAACCCAAAGTGGAGTTCACTTTTTCAGTACTTTTCTTTGTCTTAGATTCCATTCTTCATCAGTTATTTATTGTAAGATTTCTTGGCTCTATGGAGGTGAAGTCTGATGAAAGTCCAGATGTTGTTTATGAAACAATGCGTCAAATACTAGCAGCTCGTGCCATCCACAACATTTTCAGGATGACAGAATCACATTTATTAGTCACTTGTGACTGTTTAAAGTAAGTTTGCTTCCTGAATTCTACTGATGTTTATTTACAGAATGATCTTCTTTCACTTTGGTAAAATTTACTTTCTGGTTTGTTTTTAAAAACAATTTTTTAGGTTAATTGATCCACAGACACAAGTTACAAGACTACGAGTAAGTAACTTTACATTTTAAGATAAATACCCAGCAATGTAATTCTTCTACTTTAAAAATAATATTATTAGATGTTAGCAAAAATCACGGACAGCATGAGATTTCCAGGCAAATTTATGCTGAAATTAGGAGACTAATGCATACATTTAAAAGCAGACAGAAAAACACTAGCAAAGCAGGTTTAAGGGGAGTGATTTCAATAGGTCAAATAGGCTTTTGAAACTACCACACCCCTCCCAATTTGATAGGGTAAAATCTTAGGAAAACAGAGTATTATATTTTAACAATGTGTTTGATTATAAACATTTATATTGTTAGTAGAGAGGTAACATTAAGGTTGGAGTCCAAAAGGGTTTGCTTACTGTTTGGTTTTTTTGGTTTTGTTTTGGGTTTTTGGTTTTTAATGCATAATTGCAATGAGAATGTTGTAGTTTCTGGGTTTGGGGGTTTTTTTCTAATTCTTTATTGCACTTAAAAGAAATAAGTGGAATTCTTCTTAGGATATCAAATAAGGCCAGCTTAATTCTTCAGTAATAGCAGTCTTTTTTTTTCATATTTCAAAACTGTCGTGTCCGTCCCCCCCCTCTTTCTTTATGCACGATTTATAGTCTGTCATTTAATTTCTTTGGGTCTTCTTTTAAAAACATTCAGTTTTTCAGGGACTCTGAATTACTTTCATTTCCATACAAAAAAATCCTAAGCATGTGAAAATGTCGTGATACTTTAAGTAGTGCTTTTTTCTTTCTTTACCTTTGTGGCATTAAGTTCAAAACTGCCCCAAAGCTGTAAGCTTTTACAGGTGAGATATATCAACTGAGTGTATGTCCAGTATTCTAAATGTGTATATTTAAGGTTAGGAAAAACTCATCCTATCCGTTTATAACAGTTGTAGTAGGGGCCTTCAGAATTTAAAAACTTACCCTTTGGTAAGTCTTAAAAAGATACATTTGAAATTTCTAAGTCCACCCTCTTTTAGGAATGAGAATGCAAAATAGTTTTATTGTAACAAAATAATGAGCATACGTGGTTTGTTCATTTTGCTGTTGGTTTGGTTTTTTTTTTTCTTTTTTTCCTTGCTTATAATAATTGAGGAGAGCTGAACTTACTGCAGTAAAGGTTCTGGAGAAGTAGTGTGTTTACCTGGGACCAGATATTGACAGCTTAGTCACAAATGTCATTTGTATGAATGATGTCTCTTTAAAGAGGAAAAGCAGGAGTGTATTCAGATTTAGAACGATGACTGAATCGCATTGCAAATGTGGTCCCCTTTTCTTACATGGAGTGTGTGTTTAGAAGTTTTCCTGTCTTTTGAATAATTTAATCCTTGCCTTCTAATCTACTGTTTGTGTTTCGTAATTACATGTTTGGTCAGGTTGTAACTTCTTCTGGTGTGGTTGTGCATTTATGATATTGAAGTAATTAATGTGCAGTGTATTGAAACCTCATATAGAAAATATTTGGAACCAGTTTTAATATCTCCATGTTTGATCCTTTTTGGCAGTTTCCTTTGCCCAATGTAGTCTTGTATGCTACACACCAGGAGAATAAGCGCCTTTTTGGATTTGTGCTTAGAACTTCAGGAGGGAGAGTTGAGAGCCGCCAAGCTTCTGTCTGCTATATATTTGAATCAAATAATGAAGGGGAAAAGGTACTGGTGATAGTTATACTTGTATCAGTTTTGAACCTGACGTGGGTTCCAAGATGTTAGATCCATTGAAGCTGTCTAAGGGATTTCTGTGGGAGAGTATTTTGCTTGTGTACTGAAAAACAGTTAAACCCGACAGTCTATAAGTACCTGCAAGTGCTTTTATGTGCTATCATATCTAATTTGGGAATCTGGCTTAATTTTAAAGGCATTTTTATTAGAGTCTTTTTGATTATTTCCAATCTGTTTTGTGTTTAGATTTGTGACTCTGTTGGATTGGCAAAACAGATAGCTTTTCATGCAGAACTGGTAAGAATCTTTTTGTGGCAAGGGCTGCTTGTGAGTGGAAGGGAGAGAATATATTTAATATATGTGATAGAATATATTCTGCAAGATGCTTATAGATGCAGTAATACTATTGTGGTGTATTTTAAGGGATTTGTTCTCTAGAATTTAAACCCGAGATAAAAAGACCTTGACCAATGTCTACTGTGGACCAATATTCAAGATAGGATTCAGCTTGCTACCTTTAACGAACATACCAGTCCTTTCAAAGAAGAATAATCAAAACAGTGGTATAACAGTTTTGAGTGAACTCATATAAATTGGTAGTGTATTTAAACATCTTGGGCTGTTGTTACTTACTTTATTTACATTTTTGCCCTTTAGGATCGAAAAGCATCAGAAAAGCAAAAAGAAATAGATAGAGTCAAAGAGAAACAACAAAAAGAACTGAATAAACAAAAACAAATTGAAAAGGTACATTTCATCATTCTTCTTGTGGTTTTTTTTCTTTCTACTTACTTTCTTTTGCCGTTTTGTACTCCAAGCTCCACTATCACATTCTTTAGTACAAGTTCATAGAACATTATAGAATTAAGTTAATTATGAGAGGTATTTCCTGTGCATATTTTGTACAATTTTGTATAGTAATTTTTAAAAAGAGCTCTTCTGAGGAGATAAATCACAAAACATCTTTATAAGAGCAGCTCTTGAAGGAACACCTATCACAGGCCCAAAATAATTTCATTTGCTGACGAGGGTTCAGTTACCCAGTGAGGAAGGGGCTGAAGGGCCCCTGTAGACGAAGACACTTGTCCTGACCTGATGTCGTTTATGGATTATAGGTACAAATGCGTGAATGTGTTAGCTGTTCTAATAATGCCAACTACTGAAACGTAAATGTTTCGGTCTCCTATTCAGTCTTTTAATTCACTCTGTAAAGAAAATTGTCCGTTGATAGTATTAGAAGATAGTTTATAAATCATAATAATGGTATCCTGTTTCAGTTGTAGATGGCTTTAAAGTTAATATTCTTTTTCTGATTTCCCAACCCCCCCTTTCTCAAATTAGGACTTAGAGGAGCAAAGCCGGTTGATAGCTGCTTCCAGCAGATCGAACCAGAGCAGTGGAGAAGGACAATTTGTAGTCCTTAGCAGTAGCCAGTCAGAAGACAGTGATTTAGGAGAAGATGGAAAGAAGAAGAGAGAATCTGAAGCCTAAGGTTGCCTATTTTATTAAAATTGGAATCATGGATATATCTGGTGAAATGGCACAAGTTCTACAAGAAGTAAAATGTAGGTGGAGGGTCTGTTGTATTATATAAAAGACTTCACAATATGTAGACCCTATTATGCCTTGATTTTTCTTTCTCAATTAAGTGATTTGCATTTTCACGTCAGTATAATTTCTCTTTTGTATGCCAGATGAAGCATGGTGATGCTACCATGTTTGTTACAAAATTATGTTTTCTCAAGGCTTCTCTGCAGTATGGAACAAAGTGTTGGGCTTTTTTCCCCACTTACCTCTCTGTGCAATTGACTGCTCTTGAAGCAAAACTTAAAACTCCCATTGGACTTCAGCAGTACACTGAAATTTGTTCCTTACACTGCAGTATGGAGAACACCTTGCTGGAAATAAAAATGGATGTCCAAATAAGACAGTGCTAAGCTTTACCTAATTATCTGCACATAAATTCCTTAGATTTAGGAAGAAAAATTCTGATTAACGTTAGCGAGATGTGCAATAGTTCTAGACGGAAAGGTCTTCTTTTTAGTTTCATATTGCACTGTATGATACTGTCTTGATTTTTTTGGTGAATATAACGCTGAAAGACTTGGTTCAACAGGAGGAAAAAATACTGTCAGACCTAGATAAGAGCTGATGAGATGCAGTTGCACTTTGCTGCATGAGGAATGTATAAAGCATTCCTTATCAAATTATAAGAATAATGTATATATTCTTGTAGCACAAGTGCCATGTTCTTGGTTTTCCCCAGTACATGTAATAAAAAGCTGTAAGCCTTTGAGTTCACTTTTTATAAAAACTTGCTTAGAGTTGCAGGAACATCTTGAGTTCCATCATTTGAAAAATCTTCTGAACATGTCAATGCCTTGCCACCAGTTTACTGAAAATGAGTTGAGGCTCTTTAAATCTTTTCATGGAAATTGATTTTGCAAACAGAATTTACTAGCTCTGAAGTAAGAGACTATGCTAATCCTACGTCTTAGAGTCAATCCTGTAAAGCGTTTTTCAAAGGAGTGTCTGTTTACAGCTTGTAATCTGAACTCCATGTTCCATACCCTGTGTAATATTTATTTTGTATAGTACTAAATGTGCGTTCACCTTTTGATCCAGAAGAGAAAACTTGTTTGAAGAGAAATATTTATTTTTGCACTAATTATTAGAAATACTAAAATCCAGTGGAACAGAAGATATCTCTCTAATAGTCGCATGAAAATAACAGGAAATGTAAAAAGAAAAGAATATGCTTATACTCCAAGTTATAATATAACAGTCATGAGTGTTTTACAGTTCATTGCAGAGCATTTCTGGTGTTCAGGAATGGAAGCAATTTTCAGAATATCTCCCCATCAGCTGGTGATGGCCCAATCCTTCATAGCTAGAGTTGCTCTGTGCTGATAAAATGAGGAATTTCACGCCCTCCCTGCTAGACATCTGTAGGTGCGTAGAGGGATCAGTATCCGTAGCTCTCCCCGGGCGCTGGAGTGGCCCTGTGTTGGCTGAAGAAGGCAGTCTCCTCCTGCCCCTTATGCTGGAGAGGCGCATTTCTGTGCAGAAGTTCACTGCCCCTGGCTCCCGTCACAGGAGAGAAGGGGGAGCAGTGCCTGCCCTTGCAGCGCCTGGGCAGGACTACCAGCGTCTGCTGCACGGGGGCTGCTACTGCAGCAGGAGCTAGAGCAGCTCTCGGAGCAGATCTTACTGGCAGCGCAGCCTGTGGAAGGGCTTCAGCACCTCGGAAGGGGTCACAGTACTCCTGCCTTAAAACAGGAGGTGGAGGGGGAGGCTGAGCAGCAGAGAACCTCCAGGTTCTGTTCCTGAGTTAGTGAGCAACTCCCATTCCAGTACCTTTTTCATCCCCAGAATAGCCAGTCACTTGCAGAAATACCTGCTTTTGCTGTTGCCCCGTCAGGCCAAATGGCATTGCCCTGTGGCCAAATTGGGCTAGCACACTGTCACATGGACCACAAATCTGAGGCTTTTTTCTAAAAAAGAGTGGCATTTTTATTTCATATATAGTCTTCTATTCTCAGCTATCATCCTTAAGAGACACTTTTTATTCTTGCCAACAAAAATGTACAGAGAGGCAGCAAATCCAATTTTTTTACATTTCTGTGCCTAAATCTAGGCTTACAGATAGTTGCGTGGCAGCCAGTTTGTCTCTGCAAATCGTTCCAGTTCATGTTTCTTTTTGGTTTTTTTTGTTTTTACTTACTGATATTTCTGTTTTCTATCAAATAATATGACAGCATAGCTCAAGGTTACTGTGTCTTACTTATCTTCCTCAAGTACATGCTGAAGATGAAGTAGTTTTGAAACAGCACAGAAAGAATATGAAATCAGTGGTCTCCAGTTTCTAGAATCTAGTCCCCCAGCTTTCAGAGTAGGATTGATTAATGTCTTAATGAGTTCAGCTGCAATAATCCCAGCTCCAGATGGAAGACAGTTAATAGATTAGCCATCTTATCAAAAAGCATTTCTGATGTGTCTGTTTTGCATTAGCCTCACTGAAGAAATGTCAGAAAATTGAATTACTCTCTTTTTTCTTGAAACCTACCATTACTGTTTTAGACATAAATCTGCAAAGATGAGAAAGCAAGCAGGAGAATAAAGTTGGCAGATGAATTTACTGTCATATGGGATTTTTCAGATTAGCAATATATGACTGGAATTATTCCATTTGCTTTTCAGGCTTTCCATCTATTCCATTAAATGTAGTTTTCTAAAACAGTCAGCATAGGAGTGAAGTGCATTTCATTTGTGTTGGATGATTCTCATCTTAACCACGAAAAAAAGGGGAAATGATTGAAGAGAGTGGTTAAAGAAAACAGATTGATATGCATGAATGAAATGAGGGGTGGGTTTTTGGTTATTTAGGGGAGTTTCACTGGTGTAAAATGCACAAAAAGATATGAAAACATCTGGGAGAGTGACGAAAGCTGCAAGAGCAAAGGGCTGGTCAGAAGAGATGAGGAAGTTAAACGGGAGTGGTGCAATGAGTTAGCAGTGGGGTGAGAATTACTGAGTTTTGCTTAAGGGGAGGAGCACGTGGCTCTGTAATTAGAGCTACCTCAAGGCAAAAAATAGCTGCTGAGGTTTATCCATGCCCTCCTCTCCAAAATAAAAAACTGTTTGGTACCTTTTTTCCTATGAGGTTTAGAACTACTTCATTGGAAAATGTTTTTGTTAATTAAAAAAGTGCTTAGTATTTTCCTTGAGAGTATGACTTTTAATATAAACACCTCATGTTCTCCTGGGAACTACTGTGGTAGGATTTCACCACCTGAGCATTTTATTATTGTAAGTAAATTACTGGTTGGTTTCCTCTCCTGTAATTTTTTTCCCTTTTAATATTTCCTATTGCCTTTTACTTACAGACTGATCTTTCAAGCACTTCCAGCTGAAGCTCTCATTTGCTTCATGTGCGTCTACTATTATTTCAGACAGTCCCGAAAGTATTCTTTCAAGTATATGATTTTAAAGTGACTTTGCGTAGGTACTGAATCAGCAGTGTTGTTTAGGCCGAACTTTTTATATTGCTAATTGCAGCCTCATAGTTACTGCCGCGTTTTTTCCTTTAGGTGAGGGGATATTAAATTTGTTACTCTATGTAGATTTACACACTGCAGACCAAGCAAGTCTTGCTGTCAGTTGTTTCAAGCTACATACATTCTTTATATATGTAATGGCATGAATATCAAAATATATAAAGTGTGCTTATGGGTATGCATTTTATTGCATTACAGATAATACCTAGCACTCCTCTACGGCCACTAATAGATTTCTCCAAGTTTAAATCAGAGGACAAGTTAAGAGTCATATACAACTTAGCCATATATAACTGGTTACGAGCGGGTAGTGTAAAGTAATTTGAATTCGATAGTCTATTACTTTCTTAATCTGTTTAGGTTTGAAATTGTATCAAGACAATTTACTATCTAACAGTAAAGTAATATTTAAGAGTTAAGGAACATTCCCCCTCTTCAGTGCTGTCAGATTTCATCTTTATATGGATGTAAACCTAGAGCTGAAAATCCTGAAACAGCTGAAGCTATTTATGAAGATACAATTTATGTACATTGATATAAAGAAGCAAATTTGACTGTGCGTATGTTTAAGGTAAATTCTAATGAATTAGTTGCACAGAATTTAGGAGAAGCCAATGGAGAAAACTATGTTACGATGTAGTCTCTTGTTATTTTGGAAATATTTCACATAGAGAAAGAAAACCTGCCTCTGCTTAGTGAATTTAGTGGAGATACTGTCTAGTCTAACAGCAAGAGCTAGTATTTTATATTCTTTCTGTTGCTCTATTTTACAAAGTTTCTTGCAAGTCAATTAGTCTCCAAGGCTTTTCTTTTTAACCAAGCAGTAAGCTGATTTTTTTTTTTTCCCCTGCCACAGTGGTATCTAAGTTGTCATGATGAGTAAGTCAGTGTGTCATTGTGAATGCACTTGTATTTCTAATGAAGTTATATTGCAAGCCAAGGATTTTGTACAATCTTTCAGGTCATTTTTATAATAGAGTGGCGTGGTCAAATTCTAACAATGATGTTCTAGATTGGTCCTGTCCTAGTGAAGTGTAAGTGATTTTTGCAATGTTTGAGACTGACTTGCACATTTTCCCTGAATAGCTGTATTAAAAACCTCAGATGGCATACTTAGGTCAACTTTGATAGTTGTGTCTTAATCTTGGAAACATGGATAGTAAACATACTATGCCAGGGCTTCAGTCAGCATTTTGTAGACTAAATAAAAGCTTAACTATAGTAACTTTCTGGGTGAGATTTGTACTGATGCAAAAACCTCCTGCATTTTTCATAATACTGACTTCCAGGAAGTACCGTTACTGGTGACAGGGTGCGTTCCCTTCCATCCTTCCATTAAACGAAGTTTTAACATGCAGTTATATCTCTCTGTATCTCAATTCTCTTAATTTTGATCGTATTAGCCAGGTAACCTCAGAGGAAGTTATTGTACTT